TAAAGCGATTCAATCCTCGCATCTCTAAAATTCTATGTTTTTGGTGGACTTGTTCATAGGACGGGTTGGGTTGGGTCGGGTTCAAGCCGGGCTTTGCATCTTTATAAACAAAAAATGATCAAGTCTGAGCTTGAGCCCAATCCTATATAAAGCCCGAAGTCTAACTTTTATAGGTATTATAATATAATATTTTTTGCTACTAATTTTATCATTATATAATCTACATCATATATATATATATATATATATATATATATATATAATCAAGCTGGCTCGAATTCGGATTGGACTTTTTTGGGAAAATACCTGAGCCCAAGCCTGTGGACTTAAAACTTTGTTCAAGCCTGAGCCCATGAATAAGTCTACTTTTAGAGATTTAAAAATACAAATCTTAAATAAAGATGACAATTTGACCCACCCCTAGTGGGGATCCTATCCATCCCGCCCTAGTCAGGGTGATTATTTTTATCGTCACACAATTGGGTTAAGGTAGGAAACCTGCCTTAAATATGCCCAAATAGATAATATATGTTATAACATACACATATAATATAACATTATAACATATAATAATGTGTTAATATGTTTTCGGTTTCCATTTAGAAATGATTGGGAAAATTTAGGGATCCCTCTTCCCCGTGGGGGCAGGGTCACAGGGATGGGTTTGAGATTTCCAACTCTACCAGAATATGGTGTGGAGACCGAGTGTGGTGCATATGCGGTACACCCGGCCTGGCCCGCTGTTAGACAATGTATGCCCTTAGCTCCAATCAGAATGATGTACCTTATGACATTTAATGTAAATGAATAAAGTACATATTTGATTCATGTTATTATGATGTGTTTTTGTGTAATACCCTTAAACTAGACACATATGAGACTCATGTTAGTTTAGAATCTTCACAGCCGTTGGATAGATCTGGGGAGATTTATCCTACCAAGGCTGACACTGATGTGCCGCCAAGTTAGTTGGGGTAGTTTGTCTCAGCTGCCAGGGTGAGACTTGAGGTACATGCAATGTAGGTTTTCTTGAAACCCTGAACCAAACCAGAATTCCAGTATTGCCCTGGACCTTAGAGATTGATGGGCAAAACTGAAGTGTTACACCTGACCCCAAGACTCGATTATGATACTGCACTAAGTGTCGGATTGGACTGTCTTTGATATGCCAATCAGTGAGATCCTTAGAGGGGGTCAAAACCTAAGTATGTTGGGACAGTCCGAGAATTCATCTGAGTGGGTGATCATAGTGACGGGATCAACCCCTTTGTCGGACAAAATGAATGATCGGGGATGCACTCTCTCTGATGGAAACCAAAACTGCCGGCAATTAATTTCAACCGTTGAAATTCGTTTTGCAAAATATATTTATATAGAGATATACATATATATTATGGTTTCAAAATGTTTGCAAAAGGTTTTAATTCTCGGGATCCATGTGAGTAGAGAGTGCAACACTGTACCTTGCAGTCGAGGGAGAGGTCCTCTCTTGTCAGGTAGTGTTTGATCATTATGGGCTAAGAGGTTAAGTGTAAGACCATTGAAGGTAATTCCTGATGGGCTAATCTTGTTTCTGCCCATAGTCCTTGGGATTTTATAAGGTGGCTTGACCCAGGAACCATTTAGTATAAATGTTGGGCCCATTAAGAGCCCATGGTGATGGACTCAGGGGTTCACAGTCTCCTACAGTGAATTTGGCCAGGCCTTGTAACAGAGACTGGGTTGAACCCATGTGGTTGATGTGTAAATCAATGTTTGGGTCCCACGCCATACAAGGATACCCAACTGGGCAACAGTTTGGACGATATGTGAGCACATAGACTTAATGGGCCTAAAGCCCAATTCGAACTGATTTAATTTGATTAATTAAAGAGGGGCAGTTCTGGAATTTAGATCAGCAGATAGGATAAGGGATTATCCCTATCCACTCAAAGAGTCCAGATCCAAATAGAGATTTGGATCAGGAAACTCTTAATTGGATTAGGAGGGTTAATCTTTATCTACAAATAAGATAAGGGATTATTCTTATCTCTTAAAAAGAGTCCAGATCCAAATACAAGATTTGGATTAGGAAACTCCTAATGGGATTAGGAGAACCTCTCTTTAAGGCTATAAATAGAGGAGGAGGGCGAACCCCAATTCACCCAATCAGATTACTGATACAAGAGAGAAGACAGCATATAGTTGGACTAACGCCATCTTCTACTCTTGCCTTCTCCTGCTATTGCCGCCATTGCCAGTTCAATCTCCACCTATAAGAGCGATCAAGAAAGATTTTTTATATCAGTTTTTGGGAGAAAAACTGATCTGAAGTCGTGCTCACTCGCCCTCCATCAAATTCTTGGTAAAGGATTAGGTTCTTGCTGAACAACCACCTTGTTGATTCTGCTCCACCCTACGCTGTGTCATCTTCAGTGGGAGCAGTTTTTGGTGATCTCCTTGGGCGTGAACACCTTCATTGAGAGTTACTACTACTCTGTATCAGGAATATCCCTCTCCTACCTTTTGGTTTCAGACCTGGTCCGATTAGGTTCAAGATTGATCATTGAAAATATAGTTTTCTAAAATAGGGAATGTGATTCCCACATGGGAGAGAGAGAAATTTTTTAAATTTCACTCAACCTACCTACAGGGTCCGGCCATCCATATGATGGATCTCTCATCCCTTCGCCCGCCCCGTTGTCCGTTGCCATTTCTAATCTTGAAGCTTATTCGATATTTGGGTTTTGGTTCAGTCCTTACATCAATAGACGATAAAGTGAATATGGTCCCCAAGTCCTCAATTCTAGGGTCTAGACCCTCCAGACTCCACACTTTAATTGACAAAGAAAGGAGTCGTGGCCCTAGTAAAATATAAAAGAACTCTTCTATGCTTGGATACATGGTTTTAAAAAACGATCTGAAACGTCTAGTTTGAATCGATGGCCTGTTTTAATAAATAATTAAAAATAAAAATGGCCAAAAATCGTTGAACGGGATTGACAGGTTGATAGTTCGATTATCTAAACAAACAGATCGTTGACTAAATCAACGCTTTTTTGGCCATAGACCAAATTTGGGGTAAAACATAACTATTTGCCTGAACGATTCCCGAGCTAAATAGTCCAACCATCCGGGTCAACAGTGATTCAAAAACCATAATTGAACATGGTCCCAAGTCCTCAACTCTAGGGTCTAGACCCTCCTCCAGACTCCACACTTTAATTGACTAAGAAAGAAGTCATGGCCCTAGTAAAATATAAAACAACTCTTCTATGCCTGGATACATGGTTTTAAAAAACGATCCAAAACGTCCAGTTCGAATCGATGGCCCGTTTTAACAAAAAATTAAAAATAAAAAATAACCAAAAACCGTTGAATAGATTGACAGATTAATAATTCGACCATCCAAACAAATAAGTCGTTAACTTATTCAACGGTTTTTTACCAGAGAATAGATTTGAGGTAAAATAGAACTATTTACTTAAACGATTTTCGAGTTAAATAGACCAACGATCCAGATCAACAGCGATTCGAAAACCATAATTGAACATGGTCACAAGTCCTCAACTCTAAGGTCTAGACCCTTCCAGACTCCATTGACAAACAAAGAATCATGAATCATACATGATTAGAATAAGAAAATTAAAAAAGAAAAAGAAGAGAAAGGAAAAATGAAGAAGCTAGGTGCATGCATTACGCGCTACGCCACCAACCCATATCATTGAATGCATTTACAATTTGATTGGAGGAGGCTCAATTATTTGTTTGTTGCACCTGTTTCTATCTTATCATCAGTTATCACCACACCATCTCTCTTTAATCAGATCACACCACCCTTTACTTGTCCAAGCCTGTCTCTGTCCCCTACGAAGCGACTCATTAAATTGGCATCACAAGTACGTGGGCCCACACCCACACGCTCTCATCAATTCCTGGACCTCACACCCCCGCCCCCCCTGATCTCTCTTATCAAAACAACAATAATTCCTCACACCCCCGCTTTCTTATTACCTACAAACAAGACACTGTTCCAACTCTCGTACAAAGCCAAACCACCACCACATATAATTGAAAACAACTTCCTCTCTTCTTCTGCAGTTCTGCTTCGTGGAGAATCAAACTTGCCACGTGGCATACAGGTAAAAAATCTTGTGATATCATCATCATCAACTTCCTGCTGCAGCGTGTCAATGTCACAGACTCACAAAAGAAAGAACAAATAAGAGGTGGGCCGCCCGTGTTTTGGGGGGACTTGACTCTTGAGGCATGTGAACCGGGTCCGGCCTTTTCTGTGCGTCCCAATCCCACCAAAAAAGTTAAAAAGCTTTTTTAGAAGCTACCAACGTATAATTGGATTATGGGAAAGCAAAGAACAAAAGCAATTTACGACCTTCGCTTTCCATTAGAAAAAGAGAAAAGAGAGCCTTTTCATCATCCAGATGAGTTCGTGCTTTTCCCCAAATAATGCGCTCTTGAGCCGACATGCATGCACTTTGCACAGAGAGTTGAACATACAGGCTTCTTGTTTTGTTGCTTCTTAGACTCTCTCTCTCTCTCTCTAGAGCACTGCAATTAATTGGTTATCCAAGGGCAGGGTCCCACAGACCAGAAGAAATATCTTTTCATCAGGCAATGGCAACCCTGGGATTAATTTCAGGACAAATCTGCTCTGGCCAGGTGGTGTTGGAGGGAGGAATCCTCCATGTCTAAGGAGGTGTGTGAAGGTGCAGTTTGATGGTGGCTGATGACAATGGACAATTCAGTTCAGAGCCGTCTGATCACTGTGTTTGATTGAAATCAGAACATGGTTTCATCAGTTTGTGAATAATCAAGGACGGTTTGTGGTGGATCCCACACATAGTTTCCAGTTTCCCCATGCGATATGGGCCATGAACTGATACGTATGCATGTCCTTTGCACTGTGAAGCAATACCCACCTTTCCATCTTGATTAATTCAATAGCAACAACATTCACAGAGAGACAGAGAGAGAGATCAGATATATCATATATATGAAGTTATGAACATTCAAAGTTACTGTTTTTCTGATATTGTTATCAACTAGAGAGGGTAGGGAGGGGATAGACATAGCCTTTGCATTTATTTAATTATGTGCTTCTTGATAGGCTATAACTTTTGTATTAAATGAGAGTGAAAAAGGAGGAGAGAAAGCAACTTGGGCTTTTGTCATCTCTTGCCTCCCCTTTATTGGGACTCTTTGTTTCCATTTCTTTATCACTTTCTCCCTAACTCCTTCTGTTCCTTGCCGGCCATCTTCATTGTTTCCCATCTCCCTCTCAGCTGTGTCTTAATCAGGTTTTGATATACTTATAACCAAACCAGAAACCAAGAACAGATAAAAACCCATGAGAGAAGACTCTGGTGTAAGAATGAACATGTTACAAGAAGGAGAAGAAGAAGCAAAAGAAATCCATAAGAGATCTACAATGAATTCTCCTTGTGAGAAAACTGATTCCAAGACTTCAAAGGAGAACAAAACAGAAAACCAAGCATCCAAAAGAAGGTAAGTATTTTATCTTTCCATTTTTCAATTTGAGAATTTACTGACCTAAGTTCTTACTTGATATTCTGCTTGGGTAGCTATTGGAGGATTTGGTCAGGCTATATACTCCTTTTCTTTCTTGTTGGGTTGTTTGAAATGTATGCATGTCTTGTAATCATAATAGGAAAGTGATCCAGAAGACTGTGGTCACAGTGAGGATTGAAGAAAATGCTGGAGGGCAGAAGAATGAAGGTCCACCTTCTGATTTTTGGTCTTGGAGGAAATATGGACAAAAACCCATCAAAGGATCTCCTTACCCAAGGTATCTAGCTATACTTTCCTTTGATTCTCCACTTCCTTTTCCCCCCTTCTTAGGATGCCTTGGGAGGGAATGCTTCCCAGAGTTCCTGTTTTAGGTGGTTTTACTTTTATCATGCATCTCCTATTGCTGATGTATATGGCTTTCTTTTCTTTATCTTATTCCCATTTTTCATATTTTCCTTTTTCCCTCCCTTCTCTCACCTTTTCTTTCCAAATTCTATGAATCTCTCTCTCTCTCTCTCTCTCTGATTCAAGGGTCTTTAGGGAAAAACAAACAAAATACAAATTTTGGTTTTTCTTTTTTTATGATGTTTTAATTTGTTTCCCTTTCCAATGAATTATTGTATTCTTTTGTACTTGGAAACATAGTGATCAATGTTAAATTCATTTTCTTTAGCCATGTTTGGTAGGCATAATTTTTACTGATTAATTTCCATTTTTAAGAATTTTTTTAGTTTCTTCTCCCCCTCCTTTGATGCATGGATAATCTATTAGTTTCTTTATTCTTTTTTAATAAACTAAACCAAAAAGATCCTTGAATCATTACTGTTATATATTCTCGTCCAAATCTCTCCTCCTCTCACATTGAAATCACCAAATTTTCTCTACTTTCCACAGGGGTTATTACAGGTGCAGCACATGTAAGGGTTGCTCGGCAAGAAAACAAGTAGAGAGATGCAGAACAGATGCTTCAATGCTCATCATAACCTACACCTCCACCCACAACCATCCAGGTCCAGACGTCCACACAAACCCAAACCAAGGCCAACCAATCCTCAGCACTCAACCCACAGTAGAGGAGAAACTACTCCCCTCTACTCCACAGCAACAACAACTAGAGGAACCCATAATTGCTAGTGATGAAGATACCAGCAAAGACCATCTCCAACACTTGCAGTCTTCTCACAATTGCTCTCAGCTGGACATCATCACCAACCAGGAGGAAAATCCTTCAACAGTAGATGAGCAAGAGAAAACCCATAACCCATTAAGTTTCCTCTTCCATGAAAAGCCTCTCTCTTTCTCACCCCTTATGACCTTCTCCACCCCTAAATCTGAAGAAAATGACTTCTTTGATGAGCTCGAAGAATTACCCATATCTTCATCTTTTACAAGCATCATGAGGAGCAGTTCCTTTGACGAAAGGATCCTTATTCTTCCTTCTTGAGAGGATATCAGTAAATGTGGTCATAGCTAGAAATTCTTATTTCTCACATATGATACACTAAATCATTTCTTATTCTTCCCCAATACCTCTCTCTCATCAGTTTTGGTTCAAACTTCTATACATTTTGTTACATAATTGTTTTCTGATTTGTTAATTTAAAGCGGGCGGATCAGCCGAGACAGATGATATCGTCTCTGGGCTGAGAAAATATATGGATGTGATGATGTAAACACTTATGGGTTTCTGTGGATTTGGCCAGGATTAAAACCTAACACCCACAAAGGTCCCCAAGAAGAAGTTGAGAGAGAGAGAGACTGTGAAGAGTGAGTAGAACGTGGTAAAGGTGGAGATATATTTTATTGTTTTTACAGTTCTTCCTCATGGAATCTCTCTCTTTCTCTCTCTCCCAGAAAAAAATAATAATAATAACACGTAAAGACGACTGACCTGCTACATGAAGATGATCCATTTGACGAGGAACCTTTATGAATTAGGCATGTGATGAAACCATTCTTGTGATTGTCATCTGATACATAGTGCTGTTTGGCTGAAAAGAAAACCTGCTAACGTGTGGGAGAAAATAAAATGAACAGCTCAACCCAAAACTTTCTTCTCATTTGGTGTGGGACACTCCCAATTGATTTATATTATATCAATATTAGGGTGTAGAGTTTGCTTCTGGACAGAGACCAACAGAAAATGCCAAAACAATGGTAGTTGAGAGCAGAATTCCTCCATGAAAATTCATGGCTGATCTGAGTATGCTGTTAGCATAGAATCTCTCGCTTGTTTTAGCGTGCGATTCTTATCCATCTCTTTGGGAACTCCATTTTAGAGACATGAGATTAAAATAACAGAGCTTTAAGATTCCAAAGCAATTTGCAGAATGATCGAAGCTAAGAAGGCAAGAAACTGTAGATGGTAAAAAAAAAACAATACCCAGAATTTCGAGCAACTTCTTGGTGCTTATCCAAGGTCTTAATTTGCGCACTACTAAATGAGACAAGTTCTGGAATCTGAACCACAAAGCTGGTCCTTTTACCTTGATGAGAAGGAATTAATGATGCATCAATTGTTGGAATCTTGACGGGTCTTCCAAAATAATATTAAATGACAGGCGGCCATCGGAGTCTGTTTAATTTCATGGATAGAGATGATCAGAACAGGCCCACAGTCTCGATCTTGCTGCTCTCGAAATAATAATAAGCTTCTTTCCAATGTAGTAGCTTTTTCTCTACAAATGGGTTGGTTGCTCCTGCTGCCTTCCTCGTGTATTTTTACTACGCAAGTTTGTTTTCACTTTTCAACAGATCTTCTCATAAAAACCGGAAAATGCTGTTAACCAAATCGATCGGTTTGGTTTTGATTTGTATTTCTGAATAACTGGATGACTGGTTCAGTTTTTTAGTTAACTTGGAAATATCACATATTATCTATATGTTATATGTATTTATAGTATTTATAATATAATATCTATATTTTTAATATATTATAATGGTAATTTGATTTTAGCGCCCACCTCTAAGAAGGATCATACGGTTTGGTTCAACATCAAGGGGAAGGGGGCGGGATAAATACATCTGAGGAATTAATAAATGAATTGTGAGGTGGAGTGAATGTAAAAAGGCCTATATTATAAATCATTTGTTTGATTGAGTGTTTTTAAGCGATTTCATCCATCCTAAATGCATGAAAGCAATTTTTGGAGGAGTCATTTTGATGTGTCTTGCAATGAAACAACATTTTCTTTTTGGATTCTGTAGTGTTTAATAGTGTTTAATGGCGTCTAGCTAATTGGGATTAAATAATAATATAAAAGCCCCGTTCGCTTTTCGGTAAGTTATTTACCCGGATAAGTGTTTCTCAGGAAAGATTTACCCGAGTAAGTGCATTTACTCATGTTCTTTTATTTTTCATGTAAATAAGACAATGGCCATTTTAGCCATAAAAATCCATTATTAAAAGGAGCATTTTTGTCCCATTCAAGTGTTGGCAATTTTCTCCCGTGGTGGGAAAGTTATTTACCCTGGTTTGCAGCCAATTTACTTAATCCTTATATTAGATTGAAGTGGAAAATGACAGTTTTGGTCTTAGCATCTGTTTGGACCAATTTAATATACAGAAAATATAAATGGAAATGTCACTCTTGCCCCTAATAAAGCATAGGCAACAATTTTTTTCTATCAATTTTATTCTCTATTTGAAGAAGGAAGACATGATATTGTAAATTAATAGCATGGGATGCATTGTTTTTTTTCTTCTTCTTCTTCATTCTATTGAAACCAAATATTCTGTGGTATATCTGAAAATCAAACAATAGTTCATTTTAAAAGCCCGATATAAAGTGCAAGGGTACTTTCAGATTAAAATACCAAGGCCCATTCCCTGGAACATTTTTCACTCAGTATAGGTGGTCAAGTTACCTTTTTCTAATAGCAATATAAAAGATTCTTGATAGAAGGTCGATTAAGTAAATCAATTGCAAACTATAGGGGGAGTTTTAGTAAAATATAAACTATAGGGTAGTTTCTAGTAAATCTATGATACTATAGGGGTGTCTTAATAAATGACCCAAATATAAAATATGCATAGAATCTGAAAATACTTATGGAATTCCAATGTGTGGTCTGTCTTAGAATGGTAATAAATTAATAATACCAAACATCTCCTTTGTTCTCAATTGCCTATTTTGCTTAAGTGTGCAACTTGGGTCGGGTTGGCCCGAACCAAGGTTCAAAATATCGATACGCCTGATACACCGGTATGGGCATATCAGGCGAATCAATACAGCTTTTGGTACTTTTTTTATTTTTTTCGGCAACTGGTTCAGGGAGCCAATTTAGGCCTCCTTCACACCCTGAACCGGTCAGACCCCCAATACACCCACTGTAGGGGCATACCAGAGGGGTCCTTGAACGATACGTATCGGCCGATATGGGCCGATACTTTGAACCTTGGCCCGAACCCAACCCAAAAAGGTCAAGTTGGTGCTCGGGTTTGGGTTTGGGTTGAAATTCATGTGCCCAACTTTACTTCAAGTTGGGTTCGGGTTGACTTCTTGGGCAACCCGACCCAACCTGAATGCAACAGTATATTACATTCATATATAAATATATGTTATATACATGATATATCATACATTGGTTTGTTTAGATGGATGATAGTCATATAACCCCCACCAAATACTGTCATGCCATTCTTTTAAGATAATCACTTCACTTAATCCCAAATGGAAAGATTAAAACCTTAATAACATATTTTATGTTTTTTGAAAATTTTATTCTTCATCTCCTCTTTGATGTCTTCTGCCTATAGATTGTTGCCCATAAAAGATCTATCATAAGTCATAACTCATAATAAATTATAGTCATTTCAAACATTTATTTTTTTCAAATTTTATACTAAAAGAACTAATAAAAACATCAAAAACAAATATTAATAAAACATAAGATTAATATATGTAGTAAAAATTGGGTTAAGATCTGAGATTGAGAAGTTCTACGAGATTTTAAAGAATGGGAAAAAGGTTGGGTTGGGTTGGGTTGGATTAGGGTTGAAGGAATTTTTAATTATAGTTAGGGTTACGAGTTTAGAACTTAGGGTTGAGCTAGGGTTGGCCTCAACCCGACCTAACCCAGCCCCACCACCTATCTATTGGCGGGGAGGTATACGAAGGAACAAATCAGTGGATTGAGAGAACCGGGCTTTTCCAAAGAATTACTGCAGCTTTCCCACTCCCTTTGATTATCATATACAAAAAAGTATCTTCCACTTCCCTACCAAATCTCTCTGTATTCTGGCACATAAATGAAGGGATCGAAGAGATTATGGCAGATCATGTTCACCAAGAAATGACCCGAAATTTGATCTTGGTCTATTTGAGATTGTTCCTTTTAATCGTAATCAAAGAAGTTTTCTTGTCTCAACAAACAAACGAGCAGCGTTTCACTTGCAGTGCATTATAAAACCAAACCAAACACAACTGCAACCACCAACGAACATACTTTAGAACTCTTGTTTTACACCTTGTTCCACATTGTTTAGAAGTTGCATCCAGCAACTTCTAGAGTTGCAACGTAAGCCCCACAATCAACAGCAACTTCCTAAAAAGTGAAAACACTTGTGAGAAATCGACTTTCCAGTGAAAGTAGTCTTAATAGCTTTTTCTAAGAAGCGGCTATAGCTCAATCAACGCTGATTACTACATTATAAAATGACCCTTGGACATTACTTCAAGAAGCATGGCTTTCGAATTGAATAAAGTATGGTTTTCAAAAAGATAATAGAGCAACAAAAGCAAACAGGGTCAATTCCATAGCTGAGATTAATGCATAACATTCATAGACGAATGATGCAAGCCGAACATCTAATTCAATGCGAGGTTTATTAGAAAATACACAACCAATTTCAAAATTTTAGACTCTTTAATTCCTATAAGCATAATAATAAAAACACTTCCATCTTTTGTTGTGCAGTAGGGCAAAACAAAATGAAACCAAGTGCTGGACGCAAGTATTAAGAGTTCGGTTCATATTTCATTCTCCACATCAAACTGAACTGCAGCTAATGAGCTACACCTGGATGCGAGTGGCTACGTCTTTGGGCTATATTGCAACTACTTATATTGGCATGTTAAATCTAAAATCTCAACTTTTGTTCACATTTATTTTCTAGAAGGTATACTTCAACATTTAACAAGCAAACCAAAAATACCATTGATCCATGCAGCAGATATAACCATAAATTTTGTCTAAAATTTAATGTTTTAGAATCATAATTACATCTTATAATTTATAAATATGCAACAACGGTTTGAGTTGATTATTTGAAAGTCTATTTATGGAACTAGTGAGCCCAGATCACTTGAAAGCAAAATCCATGTAACCACCCCCATACAAGCAGAACCATTCGGGCCACCGATTTTCAGGTCAACAGTTTGACAAATAGCCCATTCTAACAAAATAAAAATAAAAAACAATAAAAACCACTGAACTGGTCAACAGTTTGACCACCCGGGTTAGCGGGTCGCTGACCAATTCAATTGTTTTTAACCAAGAATCAGGTTTGAGATAAAACAAAACCAGTTCAGTTGCCTGAATAGTTCCCGGGCCAAACAGTCTTGACTGTCTAGGTCAGCGACAGTTCGAAAATATTAGAAAATATACAAAGAAAACACCCACAAAAACTCAACTACAATAAATAAAAGTACAGCGGAGAAGCATCTTAGTTGGCTTTGCCCTACTCAACAGCAGTGGCAGAGCAATTACCCAAAAAAGAGTGCTCCCGTTATAGTGTCCGAATGAAAATTGAGGTATAAGTAACGTTCTTAATTTAGCAAATTCCGGTCCAGCAGCACTTTGGATATGACTCCATTATGGCAACTCAATGCTAAAATTAACAGGGGATCTGTGAATTAAACACGTTTTGATTCTCCCACGTTCCCTGCTTATGCTGCTTCTACACAAACTCACCATATTTTATTCTTATCTTTTTCTTTCTTTTATGCTGCAAGGAAAAATATTTTATTGATCGATCATAGACGGTTGTCTAGATTTACAATGGATAGACCATGCACAGCACCAATGATGCAGCTGATTTTAAAACTTGTTATTTCATCCTTTGACCAAAGATTAGCAAGCTATTGTAAGGACAAGGACAATATCAAAAACTCACTATTTTCACCCTGATAATCAAAACTCTCCCTCTGAGAAAGGTGTGAAGTTGGACGAGGAACCCATCACTGATCAGCAGAGGCAGCTAGTGGTTGTAGGGCTTTGAGAGGATTCATGATGACACCATCTATTAATCCATACTCTTTGGCTTCTTTTGCACTCATGAAGAAATCGCGATCAGTATCTTGGTTGATCTTCTCGAGGCTTTGGCCAGTGTGGTAGGAGAGGTAGCTATTCAGATTAGCCTTGTGGTGCAGCATTTCATTCGCCTGAAGAAACATGGATAAATGGTTATATAAGAATCAAAAAGATATTCAAGCACAAGAAGCCAATTCAGGAATTGCTCCAGTATTTAGAGATTGTCATGGTTTTACTCTCACTGTTCACTCTAAACCTATAATACATGGTCATTATACAAGGGCTGAATTATTAGCAATCTGCACAGATTGAGACCGGGCAATTTGCCTCAACTTTAGAGATCTAGTCGTGGGAGACTCTAAAGTGGCAGTGAGGTGATTGAAAAACAATGTGGAAGGATATCTGAAATATTGACATATCATGAAAGATGTGCAGTCTGAATAGGAAATTAAGAGCAACCTCAGCTGGGAACACCAACGGCTTAGCTGATGCATTGGCTACACGAGGGATTATCAGAAGCCAGCTGTATTGGGGGATGATTTCTCAGGGAATCTTCTGTAAAATGGAATAAAAGAAAGATAATCCAAGGAATAGGAAGCAGTAGCATGCCTATCAATAAGGGGTGTTTGGCAATTTTTGTAATTTTGTTACATAACTCATTTTTTCACTATAATCAATAAAATTGTGAGTGTTTCCAATAAGAAAGTGAATTGCATTGAATATACACATGTATCTCACTCAGTATAATTGGCATACTACGTTACTTGGCCCAATGTTAAAGTCTTGGGCTGACAAGTGAGAATGCAGATTCAAGTCTGCAGAGGCCATTTTCTGCAAGAAAGTGCCAAAGACATGGCGTGTATGACTGTATCCAGTTCACCACCCCCAAGACCCCTGATAGCAGGGCCCAACATTGAGTAATGGCTTTTCAGTGTGCATATGACATTAGACATATTTGTAGATCCATTATAATAGGAAATAGGTTTCCTGACCAGATCAAGTAGGGGAGCTCTAAATTTACTGATAAAAAAAAAGGTAGGGAAACTCTCAAAATACACCACCTATTTCTACAATGAGGAATAGGTGGCTGATCTAACCATCCATCAGACAAAGGACATTCTAGAATGGCATTTATCAGACAAAGGACATTCTAGTAGTTTGTTCAATTTCGTGCAGTTTGTCTAAGTTTCCATTTTTTTAATAAAAGATGCCCATAAAAGGAGTTTTAACACGTAGCAAGATATTTTGGGCCAAAATTTTTCCATGTATATAAGGGGATGTGTGATGATAGGGATCCAGGTCCAGGGGCTCCTTTAAAGCCTCAAATTGAATTGCCACATGGGAGTTTCCTAGGTTGTTTAGACTTCCATCACTAAAATATCCAATTTGCATACCTGTTCACATTGTAATATACTAAATGTTACACAGTTATAAGTGGGCACACTTGATTAGTCATTATAATTTTGCATACATGCAACTTTACTATTCACCAAGTCAATACAATGTAAACCACTAGAAAGTTTTCAAATTGAGCTTGACAGGGTGAATTGCCTGGCCTGGACCAGAGTTTTCACTAGGGAGTGCAACTTGGGCAGGCTCGGGTAGGGATTTTGTTAAAATTTGAATCCCAAGGCAGTGTAGAATCTTCAAATCGGTTACCCGACTTGCACCCCTAGTTTTCATACCAAATCACAGTTTGGGCCTCCTGGCCCAGCCTTGCCTAAGAGCCTTATTTATTCAGTGTTCAGCCCATCCAGTAAACTACCACCGCCAAGATCAACCCTGCATTTTTGGAAATACAAATTGGTTTCATTTTACATGCATGTAAAATTCTTAAGCATTACATATAGGCATGAAAGTTTGTTCAGGTTGTCCGCTTCAATTTATTAAAATATATTACCATATCAACTGATTATAATCTACTCAAAATATTATGATGTGTAGGTCCTATTCTTTGCTCTTCCAGTAAAAAAGAAACAAGTTGGAAATTCATGATTTGTAACTACTACTTTGTCAGCCCATTCTTCCCATTGATTCCAGTTTGTGTTCATTCACAGATTAAGGTAGATGAGCAGACAAACAAAAATCAGATTGGTTCACTATCAGTGATCACTTTGGATAATGAAAGGGATAGATTTGAGTTGGAAAGTATGTCTAAGGGGTAAGGATGGAGACAGGTTTGATAATGAAGAAGAGGTAGACTTGCATACTCCATCTCTACTCATAGTGAATTTAGAGGAGTTATATCTGGACTCTTCAGTAAAATGTGGGTTTCAAAAATTGAAATTATAGAATTATGCCTGTATATGAAAATGTTGATCATCAGTTAGAGATTGTCTAAATGATATTGATAATATGGTGATGGAGGATGGGGGAGGGGAGTCTGAAGGTGAGTCTGTTTTGATCTATCATAAGTTTAAGGTAGTTAAGTATGTGGATATCAAGAGAGTGGTTGATAAAGAATTCAATGTGTTTTTTCGTAAGAGGACTTTTTTGTGTGAAGAGAAGCTGGGTTCTAAGGATTGATTAGTGTTTTGAGTCTGAGAAGTGGATAATTGTTTTGAGTCTAAAGGGAATGAAGCAAAGAAGACTGTTTTTGAAGAAGCCTCTCTGGGCAGCAACTTTCATTAACAACATATTACTCAGATTTATTCTACAAGTTATCAAGAACATAATATCAAATAAAATGTTTTTTTTTTGATAAATAACAACTGAGCATGCCAAACATGCCAAAATGTTAATTGAATAACAGCTGAGCATGTTAGTCACATGTATGCCATACATACCAACACATGAATGGAACATAACAACCTAACATGCCAAAATGTTATTTAGATTATTTAGAACAAATGGTGATTTATCAGAGATATTTACCTGGATGTCTATATCAGTCTGCCCACCTTGAGCCCCTCCAAGAGGTTGATGGATCATTATCCTTGAGTTTGGTAAACTATATCGCTTTCCTTCATTAATTAAAAATTTCAAGAGAAAAAGAACATGTTTAGAAAAATCATAAATCAGGAAAAAGGCATAATAAATGCAATCAACCAAAAACTAGATGTCAACCACTTGTAGGGAGAGCAGGATGTATAGGCTACCTTTGGTGCCAGAGCTAAGAAGGAAAGCCCCCATACTGTTCACAAGGTCATTATCAGTATATTAGTTGCAAATGATCAAGTAAAAATTATTAAGCAGACACACCAGTCTAAAATAGAAATGTCATTACAGTATAATCAAAATGTCAATTAGCCATCAACTAGTTAATTGAGGGCCACACAAGCAGCTTTACTAACTAGTCAGACAATATTCATGATGCAGTCACTCAGGATGATAAGGATTGAATAGGTTAACTAGTTGACTACAAAGTTATGTTAAAAGCTTTATTTCTTCAGGTTTATCTCTTGTTTTGAACAATATTAATATATATATATATTTCTATTTTGTATATGAATGTTGTTGCTTCAAACATTTATGATTGATCATGGTTGGCTGATGGTATACAAAATTGAAACAAGGCATAAAGATAGTGGAGGAGAGGTCCTTTCAAGCTTCCTTCCAATTAGTGATGTGTTGATATGGGGTTGCCATGAACAAGGCTGTAACTCCCATCCAGCCTAACTTTTTTACTGTCCAAATAAAAGTTCACAAACTAAGTGTTTAGTGTCATTTTTTGTTGCATACTAGCGGGGACCCATGGGATGCACGGGAAAATCTGAAAGATTTAATAATTTTATTTACTATTAATTAATATTAAATTAATAATCAAAATTTGTTATTAATTAACTAAAAGTATTCAAAATTATTGTTAATATCTAAAATTTTAATAATTGTATTTTCATTTAATGTTGATTTACAGAAAATAATTATTGTTAATTTAATATGAACAAATATTTTTTAATAAATTTAGTTTTCTTAATAATTTATAGTAATTTTAATAATTGTTATTATTTTTATTATTTTTAAATGAAATTTTGATTAATTTTAAACAAATAAAAAAAAATTACAAAAGCTAACACTTTTATTAATTTCACTAATAATTAACAAATATATAGGAATGACAACAGGGTGGGTTCAGGGCGGGGCACCCCATCCCTGTCCTTGCCCCATAGTCAAGACACTCTACCCCATCCCTGCCCCGGTCCCAGTGTCAGACGGGTTCAAGTCAAGGCAACGACTCCTCAATGTCGGGTGAGTTCAGGGCAAGGCACCCCACTCCTCATCAAGGATGGGGAATCCTCAAATTTCCCCGCCTCGTCCCCAATATTGAGCAGGTTCAAGCAAAGGTGTAAATCGGGTCATGCTAGGCCGATCCTTAGGCCAGGCCAAGCCGTAGACCGAGCCAGGCTATGAGGTCCATTTAAAAAAAAAAAAGAAAAAGATGTTTAAATTTTTATTTCATATGATTTTTGATGTATACAATTGTTTATATATACAATTAGACCTATTCATGGGCCAGGTAACCCGACAGCCTGGCCCGGCCTAACCCGTTATTTTTCAGGCTTGGACAATTTCAAGCTCATTGGCTCAAGTTCGGCCTTTCACAAATAAGCCCAACCCGATACTATTACATATATAAAAAAGTACTTATATATAATAAATATAGTGTATATATATACTTCTTAAATTATTAATAAATATCAATTTACTATTAGGAAATATAAATTAGTTTATTGATTTATTAAAAAATTACTAAATTAATATAATATTAGTTTATAAAAGTATGCTGAAAATAAGACATTTTGTGTAAAGATCGGGCTTTGGGCTCGGGCTCAAGCTTCGGGCTTTATATAAGGGTTGGGCTCAGGCTCAAGATCTAGGCCCGATGATCAGGCCGGGGCTCGGGCTCGGGCTTGCACATTTTTTTTTGATAAAGAGGCTCGTGTTAATTATAAAACTATGATTTTTTACAAATTAAAGTTTTTATTTAATTATAGTCTAGTATAAAAAATATATAACATTTCTATATATATATATAAATTTTGTTATTTAAATATTATATAATAATATTTACCATATATGCATATAACTTCCAAGAGCTTATTAGGGGTTGTTTAGCTTGGGCAATCCGCTAAAGCCATCATTGGACTCCAAAAGTTTGATACCCAATTAGGCTTCGGATCTGATTATCCCTGATAATGTGTGGGCATGGTGCAAATCTCAGTTAGACCTAACTCAAAAGAAAATAGTTGCTTGAGCCTACAAATTTAGATCTGATCGAGTTAGATTAAGTTATAAACAATTTGTTATTTTTTATTAGTAATTATTAAAATATTATTAGCTATTAAAATATTGTAATTATTAAATTACTGTATTTATTTAAAATACAGTAATTTCTGGAAATTATCATATTTTCAGAAATATTGCTAATTCCTTGGCTAAAACTAATTAAATATACCTTTTTGGTAATTAAATATGCCTTTTTGGTAATTAAATGTAATTTTCTACTATTTATAGGTTAGATTATAATTACTGTTAATTACAGTTAAAAAATAATTATTGTTAATTATATTACTATTAATAATTAAAATACATAATTTTTTCATTATTATTCAGTAATTTTTGTATGAGTATTTTTCAATAATTTTCAGTATTTTCATAATTAAATAACTAAATAAATACCATGGTTAATAAAAAAATACAGCTGTTTTTCAATAATTTATGGCTTGGTATTTTTTTAATAAATTTTGTTATTTTTTAATAGTAAAATACTATTAATTGTACTTTTTAATTATTTTCAGTAAATACCCTTATTAATATAAAATATTGTTACTTTTCAATATTTTTTTAATTATTTTTAGTATTTTAATTATGTTTAGGTTTTTTCAGAATTTTTCAGATTTTTAATTATTTTCGGATTTACTTCTTTGTTTGGGTGCAGGTGGACTCCCCCATTAAATGTGCAAAGCTTATTCACTTCCATGCCCAACTGCTCAACAAAAAGGGTAAAGGTTATGTGGAGATATGTAAGGGCTGCAGTTTGTTGGACTGTTTGGGAGGAGAGAAATTTGCGGATTTTTCTAGACAAAGAAAGAAGCTTGGAAGTAATATTGGAGATTATTCACATAAGGGTAATACATTGGTTAAAAACTTAGGAGCTGTTTGCTGAGTTCTCGGTTGATGTGATGCTAAGGAATTGGAAGGAAATTGCAGAATCAATTTCAAGTAAGAAAGCTTCAAGTTCTTGTTGGACCTCCCCACCAAGCAGGTTTATCAAACTGAACTTTGATGTAGTAGTTTGGGCAATCTAGGGCCCTTTGGAATAGGGGGAGTGATAAGAGATGAAAAAGGGAATATGTTAGCTATGTATTCTGGCCTAATTGGGGTGGGAGATTCCTTGAGGGCTGAGATATTAGGAGCTCTTGAAGGAGTACAAAAGGTCAAAGACATGCATTTCAAGAAATTGATCATAGAAGGTGATTCTGGAATTGTAGTGAACTGGTTAAAAGAGGACAACTCCAAGCTCTGGAACTACAACAATGAAAAGAGGAAATTTAAGTGACTGAGCAAGGACATGGAAGTTAGATGTACATGGATAAAGAGTGCAAACTCATTGGCAGATGGCTTAGCTAGGCAAGGGGTGAACAGAAACTCTATTTTTTGGCCTGTTTTGTAGTTGGTTTCAGTTGGGTGTACTTTAATGTACTTTGATGTATTGGGGAGTTAAGTTTTTTTAGCTCCTTATTTCTGTACTTTCTCAATTTTTAATAAAATGCAGTTATTGATAAAAAAAACATTAAAACTATCAATTAATATTTTTTATTAGCGTTTATTAAGGTCTCAACTTATAAGTTATCTAATAATATTATTAAAACTATCAATTAATATTTTTATACTTAAATTTCTTATTTTTTGATTGTTTAACCTCAACCTATTTATATTATTTGATTTATATCATGGTTTTCAAAACCGGACCAGAACCAAATCGGAAAAATCGGGTACTGGTTAGGTGACCGGTTCCACTTTACCCCAAAACCGCTATTTCGCCAAAAACCGTTGATTTGGTCAGCAAACCGCTGACCCGGGCGGTCAAACCATTTGAACCATCTAAGCCGAACGGTCAGACTGTTTGACCCGGGAACCGGACCTCTAACCAATTCGTTGTTCAGTTCGGTTTTAAAAACCTTAATTTATATTATTACTATTCTCTCTTTTAATAATAACATGCATTAAAATAAGAGGCCTTGGAGAACCCAAAAGTCTCTCTCTCTTAAATGTCATTTTTAAATGTAATAATAACATGCATTAAAATAAAAGGCCTTAGAAAACCCAAAGGTCTCTCTCTAATAGTGTACAGCTTTATTAATCTAATCAAGATAAGCAATGATTACTGTTTTATATTTTTAAAACAAAAGAAAATAAGAAAAAATACAAAAAATGGAGAAAATAGATAAATATCTTCTCTCAAAGGAGAGACATGCTGACATGGGCCGTCCAATTTTAATATATATATATATATATGGATTTGCAATCTATATTTACTTATTTAGGTTTAGTTTGGGAACAGTGCAAATACAAATATGTGCAGTGCAAAACCTTGTATATGGTATTTCTAAACCTCCTATTTACACTGTATATATTTGTATTTGTACTCTTTCCAAACTGAGCCTTATGAGATAGCAATCTCCTAAATCTATCTAGAATAAATCCTTTTTTCTAGTTGACTAGTTGGCACCTAAGGACCAACTAGTCATTGCATCAACTAGTGCGGCCAAAGTCACTAACCATCACTACACCACATTGAAAACATTAGGTCTTTTACATAAGTGGGAAAGCACTCATAATACTAAACAATTAGAAATCTGAAGTGTAGCATGTGAGCTAAGGGCGTCATTTAAGAAATAGTTCTATTTATATGAATACATTGCATGTTTAATGAAGAAAATATGATTTTTTTTCTCAATAAAAAGAAAAAAAAAGCAAATGGAAACAAAAACATAACAGATGGAATAAAAATCTGTGAGCAGTAAGTGGCATGATTTGAATTTGATAAAATCTAGAACAAATAAGTCTACCTAGCTGCCAGTCCGACGCAGACAGTTGAAACATCAGGTCTAATATGCCTCATGGTATCAAATATGGCCATACCTGCCAGGGATTGATGCAGTAAATAAAACAAATAAAGCCAAGTTCTCCGTTTGCAGTTTGAACAGATTACCAAAACAGTTACATAGAAAGTATGAAATTTGTTTTTACCAGCTGTCACTGAGCCCCCTGGAGAGTTTACATACATTACAATATCCTGTCAAAAAAAGTGAAGAAATGTATTAACTAGTGTATTATTAATTGCTAAAAAGGAGTAGAATATTGGGTTAAAAAAATAACAAAAAATCATGTGCAATGCAAGGGGGGAAAAACTGGAAGTTTGAAACGGAGAACCATTCAATCGTATGACACAAGAAACAAAAGATGCATCTCTCTCTCACACAGAGACAGAACCAGAAAAAATAATTAAAGAAAAAAAATGCAAAACCTAAGAGTAAAACCAGGACAAATGCTTTTATTGCTGTATATTAAAGCTTGAAGTCTTGAAGATAGTAGAATGATATAAACAGGGTAGGCTTAAGAATATCACCAGAAGGCATTTGAATTCAAACTTAATTGAAACTTTCCCATGCAAAGACAGATAAAGTGGACATATTGTTGAAACCCATCTTCCATGTTATTACTCTTGCATACAGTTAGATCTCATCTTCAAGTTAAGCCATGCTTAAAATTTGCAATTAATTCAAGAGATCCATTCAAATCCTATTTGCCAATTAAACTCAAATTTAGACAGCCTCTTCCAAAACCAATAAAGAATCCAACAAAAGTGCATTGAAAGGAAACAATGAAATAATAAAAAAGAAAGATTTGTTTAAAAGGCACCAGGACGACTTGATATGTAGAAAGCACAGCAAACCAAACAAAGAAAAGGATAAATAAGAACCTTGTTGGGGTCTACAGCATCGAGATATAGAAGTTGGGCGACGATAATGTTGGCCATGTCATCATCAACAGCTCCACCGCACCGTATTATTCTCTAAATTCAATTCCGCAGCAATTCAGAAACCCGACAAAAAAAAGAACAAGAAAGATAAAAATTGTAACATGGACAAAGCCCGATTCAAGATATTACGTGTTGAAAGAGCTGGCTGATAACACTGTGGAAACGCTCTTGAACCATAGGCGGCGGACCCTGTCCTCCTTGTGCATAAGCAGGGAAGTATGGGGAAGATGGAACTTTTAAATCGTCCCTATATAATCAAACAATAAACCTCTAACCAAAAAGAAGGTAAATAATAATCGTAAAACCGCACTGGATCAAGAGAAAGTTGGAAGGGAAAGATACCTAATAGACCAAATCCCTTGCCGTGAACTCGGCTCCGGCGCCCAAAATCCATCGGAGTAAATGGCCTTGGAAACCGAACTCCTTAATTTCCTGCATAGAAGAAGAATCTCAGAGAAATCTCTGAAGAAAGCACGAGGAGGAGAGAGAATGAAACAAAAGAAATACCTGCTGGGGCGAAGAGGTTGGAATGGGAGAAAGAGCTTCTGGGTGTCAGAACGGGAAGTAGGGTTAGATGAAAAGAGGAGAGAGTTGAATCGGAGAGATGAAGTCGACGTTGCGACGCATGAATGCGCCATGACTACTACTACTACGGTGACCTAAGTTGGACAGTCGGAGCCTTTCTGCTGCAAAATGCCTCCGCTCTCGGAACACTGGATTTTGTTCCTGGGTGAACTCTCTACTCACAACTTATCCAGTAGACCAGTAGGTCCAGTACCACTAATAAATCCCGAACCGAAGTTCCCAACCCAACATTCGCCTAGGGAGGTCGAGGGTCAGGTCTCACTTTAAGACCTGTTTGTTTGCAAACCAATTTTATTTGCATTGGTGCAAAAAGTATGGAAACAAAAGTGCACTAAAATCTAATTTGTATTTTTAGGTAGGGGTAGATATGAATCTAGCTTGTTACCATTTATTGTAGCTTGGCTCTTGCCTCGTGAAAATCTTGATTCAGCTCCATTTAAATTGGGATTTCGTTCAAGTCAAATAGTTTATATTTATATATATATATATATATATATAAAAGAAATAATTTTATATATATATATAATTTTTTATTTTTATATGAAGCTTAAACCACAGTGGAGTTCAAGTCGAGCAAAATTCGAAAATATGAGCTTTTGAGTCAAGTCAAATTTAAGCTCAAATTTCTAGATCGAATCAAGTTAAAACTTGAGCTCAAGCCTTACGTTCTTTGAAAGAGCCTAGCTCAAATAGCTTGATATTTGGCTCGACTCAACTAAAACCCACCAATAATCTTATGCAAATTAGAACTTGTGGAACTCTCGTCATTTGCATACTAATCCACGTTTTATTTTTATGTTATTTTGTAAGTAGATTTTGATTTCAAAATTTAACATTTTAATATATTGTGGTTATACTTGTTTTTGAAAGTTTAATGTGAGAGAAATGAACCCATCAACGAGTCCAGATCTCCTGCCCACACAAATTCTGTCCACGTCTACTCACATAACATTGCAAGAACATATGAAGAGCATCTCATCCTCCTACATAATATTATGCATGGGGAAATATTCTCAATTCACGGGAGTAGTATATTGTGGGTAAACATGAACAGAGTTCTCGTGGGCACAGGAGATCCAGAATCCCCACCAGCCACTATAGGTGAAGATGATAGAACAAAATGAACCTAATTGAGTACAGTAGTCACAACATAACTCGAGATGCAACCACCAAATTGCATCAAACATATCTACAAAAACAGAAAAACTTCAAACATTAGACCTAACAACATTCTTACGTTTTTTACCCAAAATGCTCTTTGCGGAGAAATCTTGATTATAAGAATGTTGAATTTGAAAGGCTACTTTAGGAATTGTAATGCGTAATTTTAACCAAATTCAACATTCAAATTTCAAAATACTCAGAAATTTAATGCATAATTTTGACCATCTTATTTTCCTGGACTCAATTTTCTGGAAAATACCCAGAAATCTTGTTTAAGTGTTGCGTAATATTTTCTAATCATATTTCTATAATTCACACCTCACATAAACCACTGAAGTATAGTTCTATGTTTATAATTTGTATCTGAGATTTTGTCAGTGATGCATTTTTTAAATTAACCAAGATTCGCCAGCACATCACTTGCCTCTAGGCTCAGTTCGGAAGGAGTACAAATACAAATTTGCACAGTACATATTTGTATTTGTACTCTTTATAATCCATGCGTATTATAAAATTTTTCCCAAAATTTAAATGGGCCTGGTCTGAAGCCTAAGCCCAAGACAGTGTAAATGGACCAAAGCTATTTTAACAGTCTAATTTTCTCAACATCCAAACAATAGAAAATGGGTTTTCTTTTTGGGGAGAGCAAAATGGTTTGAATCTCATCCTTCCTCAACCCAATTTTATCAATTTGGAGTATTTCATCCTTCCACTCACATGTGCCATGGAATGGTTAGGATTGGTAACTTGGTATACAGATAAAAACATGAAGAATGTGATTATCTAGAAAAAGATATGGCCATTTGGTTTGCATTCAGAATCGGAATCAAAAAGAATCAGTTGGAATGACATTCAATCCCATGAGGGGGAGAATATCTATTCCCTCAAATGGGAGGAATGTCATTCCACCAAAAAATGGGAATCAGATTTCAATTCCCCCAACCAAACAGTTGAAATCAGAATGGACCATTCTGATTCCGATTCCAGACCCTATAACGGACACTAAATTCTAAAGATTTGAAGCAACCATGGAATTGAAACAAAACCATGTTGTTGAACACCCCCCGAGTGAGCTGCCATTTTTGAGTAGATTGGAAATGTGCTTGTGCGTGCAAATGCAAGTAAAAGTTAACAACTTAACACCTAAACTCACATGACAGCATACAGGAAGACATCGCCCTACTATACCATCCTAATAATTTCCTATGATTTTACATGTTACCCATACACAACATCCATAAGCATACATACAGAATTCTATGAGAGAGAGAGGGGGAGGGGGGGATGTAGCTTTCGGTTTTCCCTAACACCCAGCTGCTTTGAGGAAATTATCAAATGGGCTGGCGGGAGGCAACCTCATAGACGACCATTGTTCAGTTGACAGGATACCTTGAACATATCCACCATTCTCAATGGTTATCTGCATGAACAACAAAGCAAAAATGATTGTTACAAGAAAAACAAAACAAAGTGTTGGCAGTAGCCAATAAATAGCAACTCTAATTTTTTCAAGGCTCACTTTGAAAATCGTAGTCTAATACACCAATCTTGGCTAATGGAGTTACTCACATTTCTAATGGCCGATTGCCCATCTGAAGGAAAAGCTGAAAAGACCTCGCCTGCTCTTGGCAGAGGTGTTTCATGGGCTAACCAACTAGACAGCTTCTTCCTTGTTCCTGTGCCTAGGGCCTCACATTGGCTTGCCATGGCACTATACGGAAGGGGTGAGGTTGATACTGATGTACCTGCCACCTGGCCGGCTACCTCCAGTGCCTGAACCCACAACTCACATAATGACAAGTTATAAGGAAGGACACATGAATCCACAAGAATGCAAAGACAGGTATCTTTGTAGATCCATATATCTGAAAGAGGAGAATAAAGAACTTACCGATTCTACAAGCTGCCCAACACTGATAATATGAGACAAGGATGGAGAAGTAGGAGTTCTTGGCATGACACCAGTGCGGTTGGATGAATCACTTAGTGCATCATCTTCGCTTGAAGATGTTGGTTCCTGCAAGTTTAACAAAGCCCATAAAGTTTAATGTCCCACCAAGCACATGACTAGGACTTGAATTACAGTCCTAATCTTTATCCACAGGTCAGTGTTGAGTAACTTGGTAGTAGATCATTTTAGAAAAAGATGAATTCAATGTAGTACCAACTGATAAGCCACCTCCATTAAGGCTGTAGGAGAATACAAAAGAAAAAAAAAAAAAGAACCAAACCACCTCAAAGCATAAGATAGCATACCCCATCGGGATGTGATTCCTTCTTTAGACAAATTGTTCGAAGGTGGCACAAGCCAAGTGCAGATTGTGGAGCAAACATGAATACATCATCAGGGGTGAAGACCTCTGACAATTGCCTGGCCAGGTCATCCATGTCCAGCTAATGAAACCAAAAAAAAAAAAGGTGAGTACTGGAAGTTACTAAGTACAGGCACAGGCACACAACCATGCATAATACTTAATATACATAGAGAAAAGGTTATTATAAACTCAGTTTATCAAGATGTTACCTCAGTTACATTAGAAAGGCTTGGGACTAAGATGTCCTGTATGGTCTTGTTAGATTCACAAGATTCCTCCCTCAACTTGGCAAGCAAGGTCATAGCAGCTTGATAATCAGTAGCAGATCCATATTCTCTCAAATCGGCCTGAGGCCTTGTATATAATTGCAAGTCATCACCAATGCTCAAGAATGGATCAACCTGATTTGTAGGAAATATTCAGCCAAGTACTTCTATAAGAACATGATAATGAAGCACATTAAATCACAGTCATCAAAGGTCACTCAAATATGATACTTGAGGACATGTGGGCCAGCATGACAAAAAAAACAAGTAGGTAAGGAAGATTTTTTTTTTTTTGATAAATAGGTAAGGAAGATATTTGAGAACCAATCAACCAACAAATCTTTGGTTCAGGAGATCTTCCACGGAAACTGCAATACCATTCAGTAGGCAAAACCCCTGGCATGTGCCTGATGTGTGGTTCAGTTTGGAGAGCAAAGCAGAAATTTTATCACAGAAGAAAAGACAATCTTACATCGTTAGGAACTGATGATTTAAGCAGGTCGTTCAGATCAGAGATATGATAAATTTTTGCTGCAAACATCAAAATAGCTGTTGCTAGTACAAAAAGAGATCTCTGGCATGACACTGGCAACATTCCTGCCAAGTTGACATTGATAACATTACCATGTATTCAAACCTCAAAGATTTTGTCATACAAGATTATCTGTTCTCTTACCATTACATGGGTCCAAGGATATGTTTCTAAGAGAGAGAGGAAGCTGAAAGAAACGTACAGCAATATTGTGATTGGGATTCTGCAACATCACAAGATAGAGTGTTTAAAGACACCATATGACAAAGGACAGGTCTAAATACTTGAACCCTCTAGCATGAAAGATTCAATAATTTTGATCATAATATTCCACAAAAGATTTACCAAGGGAATAATGTTAACTGTCATTAATGCAAGCCCCTGAAAAGTTAATCATCATTACAATCATACCGAATTATCTATAATATTGGCTTGCAACCAAAAGAATTAACCAAGTGCTTTTTGTATGTAGAGTGCATCTTTGTGAACTCTCACCTTAAGGTGTGAGCAGATAAGTGTCAAGCAGAAGGAATGAGCAATAGCTTCAAAGTTTGATGGCAAATTATCTGGAAGATTGGCTTGCAACCAAAATGCAGAAAGTAACTGAGCTGTTTGATCCTCACTTAATTTCACAATATTTGGTTCCTGAAGAAGATCAGCATATGAGCAATAAAAGAAATAAGTAATAAAACAATATGGCAGAAGAATATGTAAAGATACATCCAAGAAAAAATTTTTTTTTGATATGTTACATCCAAGAAAATATAACTAATGCATTCACAAAAATGAAAGATACTTACTGCCTCAGGAAAGCAAGCTGACCCAGCTGTTCTGTAACAATTTAGTTTGTAAAAGTTTGGTGAGTTTTTGCGGGTCCACCCCTGTTTCCAATCTTCTTCCGCAGGTTCTCTATCCTTGGAATCTTCCAAGGAATTCCTGTGCTTTTCGAATTTCATGCCATCCTTTTCCCTACGAAGCCTTTCAAGTAAAGCAGTAGTTGAGGCAAATGCAAATGCAGTTTTGGACTGCCACCTCTTGGGTTCATATGGATACCCAGATCGAACAGTAGCTATTTCATGTTTAGGATGGTTAGATGTTGGGACAAGGAGAGTAGCAAAAATCTGGTGAGCTCCAACACGTGCTTCAGTATCAGGATGCACCATAGTTTTCAAAAGTTGGAGTAGAAGTGCATCTGGAAAGGTCTACAAATAGCCAAAATAACATATTAGAAAACATTGCTGCAGTCAAAAGAAACTAGTGCCAGTTGATTCATGAAAGAGTTAAGTATGCAAAGATGAACAACTAGAATCATTTTTAGACCAAAGTTTTTTTAATAAACAGAAAAAAAAATTGATAATAAATCCACTGAAATGTTTCATAAGGTAATTAAACTCATCTCACCTGCTGTAGTTGCAAGGTTGTAGATGCCAAAGATATTATATGAGCTAGAATCAGCAGTGATCCAATGGTAGCCCTTGCAACAACTCCCACAGGTGGAAGCTTCTCCAATGCTATAGCCATCATGTCAAACAGTGGCCGAGCATCCCCAATCTAATTGAAGACAGCTCAAGATAGATTCATTGCTATAACAAAAACTTCTATAAATTAAGCTAGAAAAGCTGATAAAGAACTTCATGGAATGAACAAGCATATGACTTACCCCTTTGGCAATTTCTAATAAGCAATCTTCAATAGAGTTTTGAAGCGAAATATTCAAGTTCGCCTCTTGCTGTCCAACCAATTCAGCCTTGGCTTGTAGGCTTTTCCTCAAATGTCTACAGAGATCACTGATAATTCCAATTTCAGCAACCATAGTCTGTGTCCTAATTTGTCGAGCCAAAGTAGCAGCAATCTGAATAATATCAGATTTAACTTGGCGATCATGAGAAACATTCTTGTGGTCCAGATGCCGGATGACAGAAGCTAGAATCAATTGCTCACTTCCTGAAAGTAGGCAAAAGAAAATATAGCCAAATGCATATAAGATCATTTTGATCTTCCTAAAGATATCTTTTGTGAAACCAAATAAACCATAGAAGTAATTATTGGAAAGGAAATCCACTTTCAGTACAAAAATGTTAAGAGTTCATAGAACATATTGGATTCTGTGGATTTTAGAAAAGAACATAACTAATTGCTCACTTCCTGAAAGTAGGCAAAAGAAAATATAGCCAAATGCATATAAGATCATTTTGATCTTCCTAAAGATATCTTTTGTGAAACCAAATAAACCATAGAAGTAATTATTGGAAAGGAAATCCACTTTCAGTACAAAAATGTTAAGAGTTCATAGAACATATTGGATTCTGTGGATTTTAGAAAAGAACATAACTAATTCTTTTATACAGTAGTTATGGATGTGCTATATGTTATTTGTTTATCACATGTTTAATTGAAGAGACTAGAGCTGGTGTAATTAAATTCTAGTAAAATAGAAATAATTTTTAATTTGAAGCTTAAAGATGAGTCACAAATACAGAATGTGTGTGTGTGTGTGTGAGAGAAAGAGAGAGAGAGAGAGGTTTTCATACAAGTGGGAGCACAAACAAGTAAATCATTAACTAACGGCCAAGGACAATATGTAAAAAAAGCAGGTTGTAATATTTTTTCATCATACTGCCACTTGCCGGTATCCTTGAACTTGTAAATCTGTCCAGCCAAATATTGAGCGAATTTTAATAATTAGTAAAGCTAATAGTTTTGCTTTCAGAGATTTCCATAACCAACTGTCCCCAAGGAACTAAGTAAAATCTTTTCCCTATTGTCTCCAACCACTCATCCAATGCTTAGAGCCCCATGCCTAAGCCGCACCCATCAAAATTTTAACTTCCTTCTTCCTTGTTAATGAATCCTCCTTTCTACCGTTCATTGTTGTCTTTTGTTCAAGTGTCCATCCATAATCTGCCAACTGCACATTAACCATGAATATTGACTCCCTTAAAGTCTTCGCGTGTCAATATCCAATGGATGATTCTCACCAAAACCCTAGGTGAGAACAAAAGGCAGCCAGCCCAAAAGGTTGTAATATCTGGGGAAGTTGATTGTGATGGTTTCACATGTGCAATGAAGACCATTTGCAAAGTCAGATCAGTTCAATTCACAGAAAGCCCTGAGTGGGGACAAATGGATAGTCCAGTAGGTGGAAAAGATAAGGGTAGCTCAAATCATTTTAGACTGATGGCTTAACCAGTTACCAGTTAATGCAAGTTGAGGGCACATTGAAGGACAAGAAGAAGATCAAAACAACTGTAAGTTGAATCAGTGAAGGAAAAAAGCATTGAAAGTAAATTATTTAATAGAAGAAATGACACAGAACAAAAATGTTGAAGCATGACTCATGTAGCCAAGCCCCAATAGTGGGGATGAGGTTAGTTGGATAGACAGGATACGACTGGAACCCAAAAAAACTGATATTTCTAAAACAAAAAATCCAAGATGAACCACAGTCAATAGCAACCTAAACATACAATATAGAAACTAGTTTTTAAGGGCATACTGTTGTATGGCTGTACAAGGAAATACATTATTATTATTAATTTATTATTAACATCTAGAAATAGTCACATAGTGCAATCTTATAACCAATAGGGATTCATAGAGTAGATATTGATTGATTAAGAAGCAAATACATTAGTTACCTAGAATAGGTAAGGCAAACAATATATTTACAGTATGTAAGTTGGGGAAAACACAAGAAAGGAGATCAAAAGGACCAAAAAAGCAGATGGTGTGAATGTATTATATAAATAAGCACTTAAGCAGTATAGCATGACAAAAAAAAATCAGCAAGAATTCATGGATGGAGATTAAGCAGAAGAATATCGACAATAACACTAAAGTATTAGCTGAAAAGGTAGGTTTTGGGAATGATACCATACCTGGATTTTCAGCAAAATAACACATATCAGATAGAACAACCACAGATAACCCCTGGCGAGGAACCCACTTTCTTTTAGTGTCAAAGTAAATGAACATTGGATCCAAAACCCGGCGCATTGTTGTACTCTCCTTGGCCAGTTCAACCACTCTCTGGATACAAATTTGTGCCCAAATCTTTGGAGTCTCAATCTCTTCTCTATAGGGAAAATAGCACTGTGTTAGCTATAGACCAAATATCTTCTCCTGAAGGAAAACATCCAAAATAAATAATTTTTTATGAAAAAAAAATCAAAATTGCAAAAATATGGCAAATGAAAATTCCAGTTTAAAGATCCAAGTTTTGGCTCTTTATTACCACCTTGTCAATAGAGAGAAATCCTTTTTCTCTGGCCGTGGCCTGATAATGTGATTTGGGCTTAGATCACCACCAACACCTGCTTCACACCTAACTACTTCATCAACCCAATTATGTTGCAGCTCCCCTCTTTCATTGTCACCCTCAAGATGCATATCTGGGTCATAGTTATCCAATATTGCATGCACAATCTGGGTATCCATAAACCAAAAGCAGTTAATAGAATTGTCAGACTCCACAGGGTAGTTTCTGTGAAACAGCTGAATGTGATAACTTACTAAGGTCCAAAAATTGTTGTATTTATGTTGCACAAATAGAATAGTGTATTGTTGTGAGACACAAGGTACAAAACAAATTGGCTTCAGAAAACCTAAATATTGGCAATTTCATACATTTTTTATGTGTTGAGGACAACTGTATCGATTTGATCCTATGAAGGTGGTTTGTGGTTTCTAGCTTACCTCCTCAAAGACTAGTCAGTTCAAAGCAACGGGTAGCACCAAGGACGCATTTAAACAGAAATTTGAAGGCAGAACTCTCAGGAATCCAGCACAATCAGGTATAGGAGTTTTCAGGAATCACAATGGCAACATGTTGCTAAGCCATGTAGGTCCAGTTGGAACAGGAACTCTTTAAGGGTGCAATTGTTAGCACTTTTTCAAGGACTAAGATTTGCAAGGGAGAGAGAGACAGGAGTTGTTTGGCCATTGAAGGAGATTTGCCAAGTTGTGATCGGTTGGTTCCTTTCTTGGTGTCTTGGATCCCAGATTAGAGAAGAAATAGCTTTATCTATCAATCTGAACAGCACATTCAGCAGGATTCCCAAGTCTGTTAGCAGTCTAGTGGATGGTGTAGCAAGAATGGAGGTCAACAAGAGAGCATTAAGGGGGAATTTCAGGGTCGGGGAAAAATCTGTAATTGTTTTATACTTGAACCATATTGTGCTGTCAGCCAAAGGCCATTGAGTTGTTTTCTATCCTACATTGCTGAGCATTTTTAGATAGTAGTGTTGTATTATTCATTTATTTTTATTACCTCTTTCAATAAAGTTCCATTGTTAATGGTAAAAAATATTTAGGACAACTTTTTGGAATAATTATACCAGCAGTGTAACAGATTTGTTGGTAAGCATAATTAATATTAGCTTTAAATATTATGGATATGATAAATATAAGATATGATAAAAGAAAATATGATGGATTGGCAAACCCATTTCTCTAAATAAAAGTGCCAAGACATGTCTGAAATGTTATAGTTTCTGACATAACTTCATAAAAAGAATGGCCCTAGTCATTCTTTATAAGTTATAACAACCACCAATTAGTTTAATAGTGCCTAACCTAATATGGACATTCACCTAAAGGGTAATTAAAGAGTTTGTAGGCATATAATATGCACAAGCCAATGATAGAACGATTTAAAAAGGGTTCATAGCATCTACCTCATCAAAATCATCAAAAACATGTGAAAATTCTCCCATGAACCACATCTGCAGCAATAAGAATTAGCCAACTCAGTTACAGAACTAAAACAGAGGGGGGAATTTATAGAGATAGCAATTTGAATGCCAATTCAGAGGAAAAAAAATCTGTTGAAGCTTCATACCATAGATGAAAGGCACTGCAAGCTTGATGCTCGCAAACATTGCTTGCTTCGTTCTTCACCAGACTCGCAAGCCAAAGAACATACTTTATGAACCAAGCCTTCAATATTGTGTGTGTAAGTACTATCCGCCTGTTCATGCATGAAATCAGAATAAAAGCCAGATATCACATGATATAATGAGGTAAGAGGTAGCAAAGATATGAACATATATGCAAGTAATCATATTTTAAATCAGTGAGAAGATCAAATATGATTGAATCATAAATTGCATTGTATAAGTGCAAGACTATTTCCAATTTTCCATGTCTTGGAAATTTGTCAAAAAAAAATATGTAAATACAAATGTGATTTTACCCCATTTCTAACCTAACCACTTGCACACTGGAAGCACAAAGTGATATAATCAAGTTTAATTTTAATGTCAGTTAATCCATACATAATGGCTTTTGAACCAACATATGATGGAAAATAAAAGCAACGAGGTTTCTAAATAGATCTTAGGTTACCTGAATAAATCTTACTGTAGCAAGGGTTTTAAAACAAAAGCCCAGTGGAAGAAATCTTGAAAAATAAAGGAATAACAAAGTAGAGAACTATGGCTTGATAGAATCAATTCAATTGTATGAATCGTATATATTGTAAGAATTGCGAAACAAAATGTAAGATATTCTCAGAAAATGGTTCAGGATTTCAGGTGTAAGGTTCAAATTGGAGCCCTTGGGATTGACAATCCAATTCATGAATCATGCCGTACATAGCTAGATTTTGACAAGTATGGTTATAGTACAAACCTCTCCAATTTCTCAACTTCTAAAAACATAAAAAAAAGCATAATTTATGACGTTAGGATTTTTTTAACAAATTTTGACAAGTATGTATGTATGTATGCTCACCTGACTATAAATGAACCTGGCCAAGATTTGACATCCAAGTATGCGCACCACATCTTGCTTCGTGTTATCCAAAAGTTCAATAACCACATTCAGAAGGCTGAGAGCAAAGTATGCCCTACACAGCAGAAGTATAAGATTAGTAAAGCTGATGCAATGCCAAGGACTGACAATAAAACCGCTTCTCTAACAGCAAGAAAAAGGAAGAGTAGATGCAAATAGTGACCTACTGACTACTGGAGAAGGTCAAATGTACCAAACAGTTGGGAGGGGGGGAAATTCCTCAACTAACAAGTACACCAAAAAAAGTGAAAAAGAACTGATAACACAACAGAAGTTTCACCAGAAAAAAAGAATTGCAGAATCAGCTAATACTTAAGACTTAAGTAACAGAAACTTTCATGATAAAAAAATTTAGACTAAATCCAGCTTTAAGCTGATTTAAATCATAGGCCCAACAGGGAAAAGATAGGTCTAATTTTATAACAGTAATAACTAATAACTAATATAATCAACAATGGAAAGCTAGGATAAACATCACAACAAACAAGAGAACACCTTGCACTTACATCTGCTCCTTACACATGCAAAGCAACTTGTTGTAGGCCTCCATGATAACATTAACAAATTTGATGTGCTCAGATCGTAGTTCTTTGTAGATCCTCTGTTCCAGGTACTTGGCAATCTACAGAAGTTTGAAAGTGAACAAAATAACTTCAAATTGGTGGAAATATATGATGCTTGTAAATAGGAAACAGGTAAGAAAGAACAATACCTTTGGTATACGTATAGGGTTCCTAGAAGCATATTCACATAACTTAACAATTTTCCTTTCATTTGGAGGGCCATCCTGCAAAGTTGAGGTAATGTCATTCTACTAACAGTTGAGAAGACAAATCTAATAGTAAACAAGACGTTAAAATAAATATTTCTGGGATTCAACATCCAAGGACATACTACTTGACTTGACAGTCAATCCAGTTTTAGAGACGTTCACACCCATATTAAATTATCCCCTAACCATTGGCCTAATTTCATCCAAAGAAAAGATCCTCTTGAAAGTGGAAGCAGGTGCAGTACTTGCGCTTTCACAGATGAATGTTTGGTCTGAAGATAAATGCCAGACCTATTTCTTACATGGGAAGAATTTACCAATGTGTCATAACAAGCAACAAAAAACCATACATGTTACAAACCAGACATACAACTAAAGGATATCAGTCAGGGAATAGGAAGAACTAGAACCTACATCACCAGGACAAGCTTTTATGGTGACTCCTCAATTAGCATAAAATACCTCACTCCACCGAGGCTTGAAATATGAATAATGGTGATGATGATGAGAAAAAAAGTGAAACGCTTACTGGATCATGTTCCAACAAGGAACTTGAAAAGAATACTCATCATTAGATGTTTACAATATTAGTCGAGCAAGAAAATGAGCATAAGCAACTCGCATTGCATAATCGAGTACAGCATTACTCACTCGACCGCTAAAATAACCAAAGCAAAACGTATCATTATGTAATAAATGAATAAATGGTTGAAGCACTGAACCAAAGGTGAGAAAATCATTGTCAGTAGAGTCTTACTAGGGATTTCGGGAAGATCTCAGAAAGCAACTTCTTGTAACGCTTCGTTGGCTGTCGAGATCTCGACCTCAAAGCGGGACAGCACACACACATGTTCCCACATACTGGAAGAACCTTTCTGGAGATAAAACCCATCCCCTGCACAGAGAAAGTGAGAAACAAAAAACACTCAAATCCTTCTATCGGGCCTCCATAGCTCGAATATTCAAGAAAATCTGAAAATGTACCAATCCGCAGCCACAAACTGAACCCAGAAACAAAAACATCGAAATGCTCACAACCAGAACGAACCAGAGAAGAAATGAAAAAATAAAATAGCAACCCAGAAAACCCAACTGTCAAATTTCACAGAAAAAAATAATTAAAGACAAAAATTAGCAACCCAGAAAAACCCAACGATCAAATCCTGGAAAGAGAAAACCATAGAAACAAGAGGCAGAGATGCAAAACTAACACAGATGAGGGGAAAAGGAAGATACTCAGCTCCAACGAATGGGGAAAATCTCCCACCAAGCTACAACGCTCTGCAGCGTAGATCGGAAGGAGGGAGGGATGGAAGGAGACAATGAAAAAAAAAATAAAGAACAAGAGAAGAGAACAAAAAGAGTGAAGCACGGTGTTCGAGAAAAAACGATGGAGAACGGGGGAAGAGACACTCGGTCACGTGACCCCGCAGTCAGTTTTACTAGAAAGACCGCTTCTTTTTGTCAGAATGCGGTAGACTTGGAGCTCGACCTTTTTGATTCATGGTTTCATGGCGGATTTCAGTTGTTGATTAAACGGCCTTTGTCTGTTTTCACCTTTGCTTTTAAATGCAACTCCATACTCCCTAGTCCCTACCCTACCAATGGTAGGCTACCATCACTCCATCACCATTATTTCGTTTCAAAAATAAATAAATAACAGTAGCTAGCTCTGCTCTGCTCTGCTTGGACCATCCCCCCAATCAATGAAGGTCTTAAATGGGGTCTTGAGGATTTTCGGTTTGTTTCGTCATTTTTTGTTTGGTTTTTAGACAGGATTACATATAAAGCTCGAGTTACAGCTAACAAGTTGGTTGAGACTTGAGAATCGAGATTGCCGATTCTCGAGTTGACTCGGGCCCCTGATTTCACTACATATATGAATAAAAGTATGCCAAGTATTTTAAGGTTTAAATCATGGTTTTTAAAATCGGACCAGATCGTATGGTCGGACCAGGAAAATGGGAATTGGTCCATTTCACCCAAAACCGCTTTTTGGCCATGATTTGGTAGATGAATTGTTGATTTGGGCAATGGAATCATTAATTTGAACAATAGTTTTTGACCTTTTTTTTGTTAGAATGATCTATCCGTTTGAACCGGATGGTTGGACCATTCAACCCAGGAACCAGTCCCCATAACAGTTCCTTATGAATAATAACATAGGGGATTTGTAAAGGCTTCCCTACCTTTCCCTTCTTTTCCTTCAAACCAAACATAGGAGATTTGAGATAACTCCTAATTTATAGAGTTCAACTATGATGCATTGATTGCTATTAGATGCATAGTGGGTGTTTGGCATTGGTGCTAGGAACGTCTCATTGTTTTCTCATAAAAATGGTGTTGAGCATGTGGATTTGGAACTGGTGCTGCCATATAGGCATTTTCTGATAAAACAACACTGGTTTTGTTTGGTATCAGTGGTGGTAGTAATGTTTCATATCATTGCACCATTGGCAACAATGTGTCATTTTCTTAAAAAAACATTGAATTTGGCATTATTCCAAACCATACTTTCCCGATTTCTAATGTGTGGTCTGAAGCAAAATTTTTTTCTAGAAAAACAGTACTAAAAAAGAGGGTGTTGTTTAAAACACCGCTTTCTTGGATATGACACTTATGTGACACTATTTTCTCAAAAAACAACATCAATGTCAAACATCGCCTAAATCCAAATTTCAACAAATCATATTAAAGTCTACTTAATTTTCATTGATTCAAGATCAACCAATCAAGTTTTTTGCTGTGTGTTGCAATGGATGCATCATAGATTTTGCCTAATTTAAGGGAATTTCCCGTTTGGTTAATAACACAATTATTAAATTTTAAAAATATGAAAATAGTATTTGCAGGTTGATCCTCCTCGAGCCGGTCCAAATGTATCTTATAAAAAAAAAAGTTTTAGCATTGCCAACTCACATGTGAGGTCATGTATTAGTGGAGCAGTTAAACATAATTTAGACTATATGCCCATATAGAACCCCATTAGAGTCCAAACCCTAATCTTACTCTCTAGACCTTTTTTCATGCAAATATCGACGTTATGTCTAGCAATTAAGGAGAAGTAAGAAAAAAATGAAATAGAATAGTAGATTCCACCAATCAAGGAAATATATTATTCATCACATGATGGTGATATACATAGTTTAATAAATTCACGGGTCCGTCCTTATATTCTCATTCTTTGGACAGTTCGACATTTCCTAGCTGTGCCAAGGGTGCATGGTACATTTAATAATTTTTATATATAATTTTTTTTTTCTGTATGAAAAAACTAGTTCCTAACCCCCCAACTTTAAGAATCAAAATTTCACAAAGTACAGGTAGGTATTAATATGGGTTTTTTTCAATGTTTTAAAAAACGATTCAGAAATATAACCGCTCTAGCTATCAGTTTTTAGGTTGATAGTCCGATTGTCTGGTTCGAACGAATGATCTGTTCTAACAAATAAATTAAAAAAATTAAAAAATGGTAAAAAACCGTTGAATGGATCAATGGTTCGACCGCCAGGGTCAATGAGTTATTGACTTTTTCAATGATTTTTTACCAAAAAACTAGGTTTGGGGCAAAAAAGAACTAATTGCCTGAACGGTTCTCGAGCCGAACAGTCTGATCGTCCGAGTCAACAGAGGTTCAAAAACCTTGGTTTTGGGGGAGCTTTTGACTCACATGGGCTAGACATGCTTTAATCTGGAAAAAGGGGAAAAAACTAAAGAGTGTCATCAAAACACCCAATACATCAATCCGATCATACTTTAAACCTTGTCCAACCCTTTTTTTTATCTATTTTTTTATTATCCATCAATAAAAAGTAAAAACTAAAAGGATTAATAGACAATATACTAATTATAGGGAATTATCAATAGATGAAAAAAATATATATATTGGGTTTTTGAAAATGGGGGAGAAACTTGGGTCTGATGTATGAAGAAAAAACAAGTTGTGATAAAGAAAGTTCACCCTCCACCCCCTTAGTGTTTGAGTGATTTGTGTTTATAAGAATCTTTAAAAATTACAAGAAATGAAAGGAAATCAAAGAACTAAGAGGACATAAACAAATAAGGAGAGATATGGATGGATTGCTAATGTAGTAAGTAACTCTTCCATGGTTTTAAATTTTGCTAAGGAGGGAGATGCTTTGAATATCATTAAAGTCTTGTTGGACGAAAATAGTGCTCTTCCTGTGCTAATATTCTTGTTATCGGTTGCAAGGCAAAATTAGGGTTTTTTCCCCACTATTCAGTACAATTTACTCCAAGAAAAGGGAATAAGCAAGATTAACGAAGCTTTTTGCCTTTCAGGCTTCAAAAAAAATGCTGATTTTTTTTTTTTTTTTGTATACGCTAAAACGTAAATTCAACAATTTGCCCAAATTTATTTTGGCCAAAAATTTATAATTCTTTATTCAATCTCAATAGAATGTTTGAAACATTTCAATCACAATATTAAAATATTACAACATGTTTTGAATATTTTTTTCTAAATAATCAAAATTTCACTTGACAAATATCAGAATTTAATGGTAATTATTTTGGATTTGCAAGTATTCAAAAAATTCTGTAAATGTGGGCCAAATTAACCAAAGTCTGTTTCAAATTTCAATTCATTCTGATTTTTTCTGGACACCTCGCTACCTGGTTTCTCTGTCATAGGACATAAGACAAGCTTTAACTCAAAAAGATCCTCTGCACTGAACATGGACAGATAGAAAAGAGAACATTTTAGCTTAGTGACATTCTCTTTCATATTTAAATTTTGAAAACCTCCATCTCTCTCTCACATTTGAAGCTTCATTATTTCATTTTCCATGGAAAAAGGGTCCTTTTTATCTGTCTAGCTTTTGTTTTTTGAAAGGATCAATTTATTTTTATATTCCAATCAAATGGCTCGGATTGGTCAGTGTGAGCCATCTCAAGGCCCCACGGGACAGGTATTAGAAAAGAAAGGACAGCAAGTACAAAAAAAATAATAAAAAATGAGAACAGATGGCATCCACCCCAGGAACCCGAGGATACTGGGCCAAAGGTCACTCATGGTATCAGTTTGATACGTGGCAGTGGGACCTGCGTATACAGAGCTGAGGTGGGCTATCATGATTGGCTAAGTATTACTAGCAAATCTTTATATTATTTGAATTTCTAGAATTGGTGTGTTATTTAGGGTCATTTACTAGCACCCCCCTTGTAGTTTTATAAATTTATTAAAATCTACCTTATGGTTTAGTGAAAGGTCAATAAAATAAATTGATTACAAATTATAAGGATATTTTAATAAAACAAAACTATATTGTAGGTTTTAGTGAATTTATAGCAATGTTTTAGCGTGTATTTGGAACTATGGACTTTTATTGAATAAATGTTGTCACATAGGTGTCACTTCATCATTTTTCTCATTATGCATTTATGTGAATCTATACGCACAGAGACTTATAAAAGTAGGCATTGATTTATGTGTACATCTACCGTTGGTGGAAGTTTCATTTTAGCATTTCCCCCAACAGGTAGGTTTATTCATTGTTTTGCTGATGTGGTGCCTAATGACACCTAGTGGTGCCTAAGTGTCAATAAATGGGTTCATTATTGTTTTTCTCGATTTTGTAAACAAATCAATAAATGCTCATGGTTCCAAACACATACTTAGTAAGCTACCCTTTTTTTACCATCTTTTATAACTTCACGTTGACGCCCCACAACATATCCCAATTGTGTATTGGGAACATCTCCCATTGAAACCTTTGGGAGATGTTCCCAATGCATGCTGAAATGTGCATGTGGGGCATAGATGTGATCTCGTATGAATGCGGTGGTTTGATGAGTTTGGATTTGCTTTTCATAGAGTGCGCCTCACACCAACCTCACAAGTATGTCCTGGTTACATATCGAGAACATCTCCCGTATTTGTATTTATTATTCATAGGGATATGTTTCCAATACTGGGTGGGTTGTGGTTGTGAGGTTGGTGTGAGGCGCGCTATGTGAGGAGCAATTCATTTGATAGACCATAGTGAGGGGATGGTGGCACTTTTTGTTTAAGGCCTCTTTGGAGGGTTTTAGCTTTGACCGAGTTACATTAAAAAGCGACTAAAATTAGCTTCACCAGAAACTAAAGTGTATTTTAGGTTTTTCATGCATGTTTGGAAGGGTTTTTAGTTTTTCACACACATAGCTTTTGGTTTTTGTAAGATTAGGGCTGTCAATGGGTTGGGCATGATCCGATGGTCCCGAATCGATTGGGTCAGTTATGGTTCAGTTCAAGTTTTTGATATATTGTCCTAATTATTATCAGTTTAGAACCAGTTTTACCTAGTCCCGAAACAATTCAGACCTGACCCAAAGTATATATTCCATCATATCAGACCCTGATTGTCTTGAGAACTAATCGATTTGGTTTTGGA